ATCCTAATTTAAAACAATTCAATTCATGTTTAATTACGTACAACTTAACAGCACAGAGGCCAATTAAAAGGTTAGAATGAGTACACAGAATTACATAAAAATAATTAAAAAACAAATACAAAATTTGAGAGTCTACATAATGACAATAGATTAATAATAATGCCAAGAAAAATAAAGTTAACGTTAACAAGAGATAACAACAAAATAAGACCACATACACAGAAGTAATATGAAGAGTATCATTAACAAATATTATTAACAACTTTAGGTTCAGTGTCATTGACAGAAACTGTTCTGATTGCAAATATGTCGAGATCTTTACCCACTGCGTTGGCAGCGTACAATGTTTATTAGAGGGACAAACACAAAACAATGAGAAGTCCCTAAGATTGCTGGGAGGAACGCGAAGGCTAACATTTTCCAAAAGAGAAGCGCAGGATTTAAGACCACGAAAGACCTGAACAAGAAAAAGTGCATCAAGGTGATGTCTCCGTTTATGTAAAGATTGCAGACTTAATTTCTCTAAAGCATAAGCATAATTATATGAAATATGAGGGAAAAAACGATAAAAACAGACGGACGCAAAATTCTGCTGGATGCGCTCAAGCTTATTGGCATCAGTCGAGGTGATGGAATTCCAAACTACTGAGGCATATTCCAACTTGGACCTGACTAAAGTAAAATATAGTACATACTACTACTACTACTACTACTACTACTACTACTACTAATAATAATAATAATCACAAACCTGCAGTGAATCATTTGGACATTTGCAGATGTATGAAGTTGAATCATAGTTCATCTCATTTTTCTAACACTGATTGAAATGTTGAGCCACAACAACAGAATTCTAACTTCTAAGCACTATAGTGAGCTATTCAGTTTGCTCCAGCAGTCTGGTTCAGTACCATAGGACTATTAGACAGTGCAATAATGCTTAAATATTGCTATGGTGTTTGTGTTGTGTGTGATTTTAAGTGCTGCAACAGGGCCATTTAAAGACACGAGAAAAAGAAAGTATCAAGAAGATTGTATAAAGTATGAGTTTACCTAAAGAATGTTGAATGGTGAAGAAAGATTATGGTGTATGGCATGGTGTGAAGTGCTACAAAGTCATTCATTCAAGGCAAATAAATTAATAACACATATATAAATAAAACATGGATCTGTGGCTGACTGCAATGTAATATTTTTAATCAAGGCTGATTTTACAGGGAAGACTGGATTTTAAACTTCTAGGTCCTGCCAAAAATGATATGCTGCTCTTATTGATGCTTTATATTTGGTTGCATAAAGAATTCATGCGTGCATGTTTGTGTGTGTGTAGCAAAAGAACTAATACATTCCTGCTATGCTCATGATACTGTAGTTATCCTCTCAGAAGTAATTCTTCACATAAGTTACAGCTACTGTCTTTGTCAAGTGACACAATGAGGTAAAGGATTTAAGATGTGTCATGAAATTTTACCACAAGTAACTGATATATTCAAAAGCTGACCAAGCAGTCTGTCCAACATTCAGCTTGGTCAATCACGATCTTTCAAATTAAGTTCAGCTTCTGATTCACATCAGATATGCTCAATGATGATATAAAAACTGAATTTATTTTGATAGTCTTTGGAAACTACACTGATTGGGAGAAATAATTTTTAAAATTATGCCATACAAGGCATTCCATTCTTATAAAAGGCACATTGTAATTGTTTTAGTATGAATTTCCATGGCAAAACCTGTAGCTTTGTTATTCAAGTTGTATAGTGAATATTGTAGATACCCAAATTTGCCTGATCATAAATAGGCTTTCATAAATGTTAAATTTTCTGTCAATTGTGATGTTTCCATGTCTGGTTAATTTCCTTTTCTCTATTATTTTGTTCATTAATATATTCAGGTTTTCTACCTTTGTGTTAATTTATCATTTTCCCAAATATGCTACATTTCTTGACCCTCACAGCCTTGATTTAATCATCCTAACAATATTAGGTGAAGAATGCAAACTATGATAATCCTCATCATGTAATTTTCTCCAGCCATTTGCTACTTTACCTCTTGTATGTATAAGTGTCATCCTTAGACTCCCTCACTGAGTCCTAAAGATTTTTATTGGACTTACAGCAAACAATAGAGCAGTGGCAGCTGGTGTTCATCATATCATCAGTTATGTTGCTGGTGGCAGGATTCCTGTACATACTTTTCTCATCATCTGAGCTGCAGAAGTGGAATACACCCACTGAAAGAAAACACATCCCTGAAAATCAGGAGCTAAATCCAAAATAAAATGCAGAAATAAGTTATGCAAGAATCACGGCAAGTGGTAGAAGAGGACATTTATAACAAAACAGAAGACTAAAATGACAATACTGTACATAATAATATTATGTACAATATATTTGCTGTCACTGTAGTACTCAATAAACAGTAGTATGAGGTATCTTCCAAAATTAGAAGTACAGCATTATGCGATTTAGAGCCATGTAGACTGATAGATGGGTACCAACATTCTCCAGAACACTGGTAACTATCTACCAGACTACATGGCATCACAACTCAGGAGACTGTAATCCTAATAGTCAACAACAGGAGAACTTCAAATCTCATATAGTCCATAATGTTCTTCCGATTTGTCATGGAAATACTTTATTTTCATGTTGAATTTAAGGTTCTTGTAGTAGTGACTATGAAGAGTGAAGTCTTTTGGGTTGTACGGCCAGGTAATTTGGAGATGGCATAATGTTTCAGAGAAATATAATGCCTTCATCTTCAAGGCCAAGAGTGTGCCAAGGAAGAAGGGACCAGAAGCAAATGGCAAGCTGAGCTTGGTCTGAATTATGTGGTATTAAAACAGAGCATACCATACTCTTTATTTTCAGACTTAAATACTTAGAATAGCTTATTTGTTACTCAAGAATATTGTATTATATCAGATCTGCATTTTTCATGATAGTTAAAATAATTGTGACTTCTGACACCATGTAGTCTTGTATGCAGTTATCAACATTTCATAGAAACATACTTCTTCCATCTTCAGGGTCCAGAAACCAGAAAGGAGGTGGGGCAACCTTGACACCCGCTCCTTGCTTCTTTCCAGCATTGCTTACTTTCTGACTCTGAATATGAAGACAGCATGTTCTTCTAAAACATTATTGAACTTATACTTGAGTACACAGTGTTACATCACAGAAGGTAGTACTCTTAACAGAAAAGTTCTCTGTTCATATAATTGTGTCAATTCCTATCCTGCCTGCAATTTATCTGAGAAAGAATGTTCCTGTCGGGAATTACAAAGCAATTAAGCCTGACATTCAAGACAATACACTATGTGCAGAATGTTTCAGTGACTACAGGAAAAAGATAGAGAAAACAAAGTGTGCTTATTTTTTCTATAAATACCAGAAAAGCAAAAATCTGTCTGAAAGAAAAAATGTTCAGATCACTGGGAACTGCAAATAAATTGTAATATGTGAGATCAACTGGAAATCTTCACAGTTTAGGCCACTTACTGCCTACATTTACTTATTAAAATCAATGAAATGAAAATGAATATATCTGCATATCAGTGTGCAACAAGTATCATCTGACATGTCTACGATGGGGTACCCAAAAGAAACTGAACTAATTTTTTTGTGGGCAGAGCTTTTGTAGTACCGCGTTTTGCCGCTATGCGCGCATAGAGCTAACATTCCTGAGTCGATAAGCCGACAACCGTTACTTCAGAAGGTAAGGACTAGTTTCGGCAGAGTTTGTAGTGACAACTGTTTTGTGTGATCGTCGTTTTTTCAATGGCTGATTTTCGTGAACAGTGTGCGGCGGTGAAATTCTGCTTTTTGCTCGGAAAAAGTGGAACAGAAACTCTTGAAATGTTAAAAACGGCGTACAAGGACGATGCTATGGGGAAAACTCAAGTGTTTGAGTGGTTTTCCCATTTCAAAAATGGTGAAATGTCAATTGATGACAAACCTCATTCTGGTCGTCCTTCCACAACCCGAACACATGAAAATGTTGAAAAAATTTGTGAAATCATCAAGGAAGATCGACGACGGACCATTGAAGAAATTGTGGAGCTGTTGGGAGTGACTTGGAGCTCAGTGGCCAGATTTGTGGCAGTCGGGTGACTGGTTTTTCCATCATGACAATGCCCCTGCTCACACAGCCCTGTCTGTATGACAATTCTTGACCAAAAATGGTATGACCCTTGTTCCTCACCCTCCATACTCACCCGACCTTGCCCCCTGCGACTTTTCTTGTTTCCTCGAATGAAAAGAGACATGAAAGGAAAAAACGATGGAGGCGCTGTCAAGCATCTCAAAAGATGAATTTAGACAATGTTTTGAAAAATGGAATAAAAGACTAGACAAGTGTATTAGTGTAAGTAGAGAGTACTTTGAAGGGGATTGAAGGTTTGTGCTTAAAATTTGAATAAATAAGTTAAAAAAAGTTCGGTTTCTTTTGGGTACCCCCACATATATGCAATATTTTGGTTATAAGAGGGAAAGAGTTAAGTCTCATGGATGGCAGGAATGATGGTCTTCAAGGTTCCTTCCATTCTGTCTACTGCTGTATCTGCATTGTTATTTCTCTCTGGGGCTTGCTACCTTATCTCAGCAAGGCAAAAGCACTTGCTGCTAACATAAGTTATCAGTAACAACATTCAGGTGAAAAAATATATAAGGAGAATTTAGGGATGTATGTTGGATGAAGGAATGTAACAGTTCAAGGCAGATGTGGGTGGGCACGCCATAGCAGTGTTGGATGAGGCACTATGCTACAAGCTAGAAGGCCGTGTGTTCAATTCCTGATGAGTTAACTGGATTCTCCTATCGACCTACTCCTTCCAGCTGCATTATGGCCCTAGCGTTGACTCAGCCTCTGAAAGAAATGAGTACCAGGAATCTTCCTTGGGGTGGGGTGGGGATTACCCTGGAGATGACGGCAACAGGTTCCTGCAAAACGCTGATGCCTATCCATTAAACAACACTGTGAAATACCCCCATCCCATTCACTGCTCTGAGAATCTCCATCTCATTAAGAAAGCACACTAAAAATGTTTCAAATAATAGCGAAATACTTCAATGAAATCTACACTTTGTATTATATACCAATTATTTCTACTTCGGATCAATTAAGAGGAGACTGACTTCATGCAAAACTGGGAGCAAAGTCTTCTGATCATATCAGCAAATCTTCAGGTTCCAGCAGAGGTATGGCATTCCTTGCCTGAATAACCATTACTTTTTGAAGAAGCTTCTGAAGAATCTTTATGTATGCATTTACTTACTTCGTAGTTGGCCGTGCCATAGCTAAAGCAGTTAGTCGCTGGGTTCCCACTGAGGCGGTCCGGGTTCGATCCCGGGTCTGGTCAAGTGGGATTTGTGGTGGACAACGTGGCGCTGGGGCAGTTTTCTCCGAGTACTTCGGTTTCCACTGCCAATCTTCATTCCACCAATTGCTCCACAATCACCCTCACCTATAATCTGGGGCTGGTAAAATAGGCCAGAAGTGGCCACAGTACAAGGGACTTAGTCAAACTCCACTAGCAATAAAAAAATACTTACTTAATAAACGGAAAAGTTGTCCCTGTGCTTAACTAATTAAGCATCATGTCATATGGGGGAATGGAGGTAGAGTTCAGAACTAGATGGAGAAGAGTGATCAACTTCACACCATGTCTGCTTTATCCCTGAGGAAATAGCCCCTGGTAAAAACTTAGATAAAGGGCTGAGGCCTCTTAGCCAGTCTGGATGCTGTACAGTAGATAAAGAAAAAACTCCTAACCCTGCCAGAAATGAAAACCTGGCTGTCCAGCCAATTATCTGTCACAATAAAGCAGGAATTATATTTAAAAAATTGAAACAAAAGGAACATATCCCAACTGTCAGAACTGACATTCAATATCAAATTTCATCAAAATTCTTTATGTAATTTTGCACATGGAAATAATCTCCCCATGTACTACACACAAATAATGCATAACAAATTGGTAAGATATACGGATAATATAAAACATTACCTACATTCAGAACAATATTTTATTTGAAGAAAGCAGTTTTCGGGATTTAGCACCGTGTATATGTGGTGTTAACCGAAGTTTCGGAGGAACATATCGCGTTCATCTTCAAGGTATAAGGAAAAATATAAGAAATCCACAAGCGAAGGGACCGTGAGAACCGGCAAAAGCATACTGGTTCTTGAAAACACTGCAAAACCTCATACACATCACTGTATATATTACACACAAAAACATAACGTCACACTATAGAATTTAAACTTCAGTCTACACTCAACATTATTGTGACCAAAACAACATAGGTGTATATTATACCCACCACTCTCTCTCACACGGAACTAAGTTATGAATTCAAAAAATAATTTCTTCAATGGGAAATAGAAATTCCCTTTGCACCCTCTTCTTACAAGCACTCATACTAATGCAAAATGAGGTATATCACTCTGACTAATATCCTACTCACATGTGTAATATTCAGAGAATACATACCAAAATTACACCCATTTCTTTCATACCAAATATGCACTCACAAAACCTAATTCACTCCCTCTCCATATAACCAATCAAACACGTTTTCTGCAAATCACTGTACATACTTCACACGAGATTAATAATAGTGCAAGAATAACCTCAAAGACACAATATCCTTCACTACACACACACTCTTCTTATATGCACTTACTATCGTTAAATCAATAAATGTAACTTTTGGTGTATTCTTCCTTCATATATACTTCATTTTCATGGTTCAGAGGGAAAACACTTCGATTTCGTTGTGGAGCACAGGAGACATGTTTGTAAAATTTCGTGCACTCGCCACTACTCGATCCAGGATAATACACACATTAAAGCCTACAATTTGCAATATCTCACTGAAATCTTTTATGATATACTTTCAGGCAGATAATTAATCAGAAATAGTACATATATGTATTTAAATATACACACATAACATGGTCTTATTATTTATAAACACCTCTTCATACCATGAAAGTAACGTACCTTGACTTTGTACACCGGATATTTAGGTCACAGAGACAGGGCAGCCAACATCTTCACATGGCTGAAACAGAAAGTTTCCATGATCAGTACCATTACAGGAAGGAAATTTCTCGTTACATTCTTTACCAATTTTCATGCATAATATTATTCTAATTCCCATCCAGGAAGGGAATTTCGGGCGAAACAAATGTCAAGCAGTCACCCAGTTGCTCTTGTAACCATCCACGAGAAGAAACGGAATGATTTCACAGATTATAAAGATTTTCCGTCATAACGTTATGCCGTTGGAGGGCAGCATATTCACATAGAAAGTTATATTCAGTAATCATTTGTATCACCGTGGGAGATGCGCAAACTCGTGAGGTGGGAGCGGCGTTTCGACACAATCTAAGCTATTTACGTAGCAACATAACCTCGGAATATAAGGGCATATATGAATATTATGGGTGGAAAACGGTTAACACGCTGAATTTCATGCATAACGGCATATTTCGATTTATATTCCACGCTACTATAATCCTATAATACGTTCCGTTAAATAGCCACTTCGTGTAAGACGTCACTCTTAGATGTGCGCAATGACCTACTTCGCATCGACCTGTAACTCGGGGGGTGGGGGGTATGATTCGCTGATGTTAGGTTAGGTTAGGTTAGGTTTGCGCAGTAGACTACTGCGCATCCATCTGTAACTTGGAGGGGGCGAAGCTCGGTAATTATCGATTATGTTAGGTTGTGAGTGTACATTATGACAGGTGTGCGCAAATGCCTATTGCGCATTCTTATGATCAGTCAAGCACTGTTTGGCCGTCCGCCATATCTTATGATTGAAAGTCGCTGATGGAGTACGAATTCATTATGTATTTATACGAGACATTTTAATTCCGAATTTTCTCGCAAGATAAACTCTTGCATTTATATTTCTGTTAAACACTCTATGTAATCTACGAAGCCTGGAATATATTACGATATTTATAATGGCCATGAGTGCACTTTTTCCGAAATATTGACATTTAAGAACGCTCTCAAGTGCATGGTATCACAATTATATTGACTGACTCTTACAATTTCCAACACTTCCCGAAATATTCTCTTTCCAAATGTTCCCATTATTAACTTTATTATGTTTTTCGACATATGTGAAAGATATACATATACTTTAAATTAAAGGTATCCACTCCACCACACTAGTGCTCAAATATCAGATATGGAAATCACCGATTGCGTTCTGAACCTGAAAAAAATATTATTCAACTTTCTTGTATGCATGAAAACAATAAAGGACACATCAATGTATGTGTTCTAGACTAAACTATAAAATACAATTACAAGAACGTCAGGTGTAAACAATGTGATCCTGTAAGCACTTTAATAGAAGGAAATAAAATAGTCACCTGATGCTGTATACCACATGCTAGCACATGTAAGCTTGGAAGATTAGATGCTAAGAATGCAATCCATTGTCTATCACAGCGAAATACACATCTAACTGACAAATCACTTGCCATCATTCTTCATGCTATAACACATACTCTACACAACACTGTGCACATTTTACAGGCACTGAACAGGATTTCCAGCATAACACCAATGAAATAATATGTTTCACTTTGCATAGCACCTTCTTATAAGCAAGAATCCTTCATGAAAACAAGAGATGTACATAAAGGGGAACTTTTGAATCCACTGTGGGTGAACGGAGATCTTAATTTTCTTGAAAACACTGCAAAACCTCATACACATCACTGTAAATATAACACACAAAAACATAACTTCACACTAGAGAATTTAAACTTCAGTCTACACTCAACATTATTGTGACCAAAACAACATACGTGTGTATTATACCCACCACTCTCTCTCACACGGAACTAAGTTATGAATTCAAAAAGTAACTTCTTCAAAGGGAAATAGAAATTCCCTTTGCACCCTCTTCTTACAAGCACTCATACTAATGCAAAATGAGGTATATCACTTTGACTAATATCCTACTCACATGTGTAATATTCAGAGACTACATACCAAAATTACACCAATTTCTGTCATACCAAATACGCACTCACAAAACCTAATTCACTCCCTCTCCATATAACCAATCAAACACGTTTTCTGCAAATCACTGTACATACTTCACACGAGATTAATAATAGTGCAAGAATAACCTCAAAGAC